GTCCAACATTGCAGAAGATCTCTCGTTTAAGTTACCGCCGGGCCCCGCCCCCGCCGCCCCCGCCCTGCGGCCGGCCGCTCCCAGCATGCCCCGCGGCGGCCCCGGGGCGCTCGGTCGCTCGGGCTCCCTGAAGCCACAGCCTGCCCGGACTCCCGCAGCCAAATCGAGTCAAAGACCAATTAATATGCTGCTACCTGTGGCCAGCTCAAGTGATGTGGAGCTGATGATTTCTTTTTCCATTTTACTCCAACTGTGGTTTCATTTCTTCCCCAGCCCTCCTTTGGTCAGTGGTTTTAGGGGCACTAAAGTTCACTTTTGTGGGTAACCTGCACTGTTAGCTGTTGATTTAATTAACTCAGCCTTTCTCTTTCTTGACCAGAACCCGGCCAGCTGGGCTGCCGCGCAGACACCCATTTGGACAGCTGACGGGCCGGAGGCGGCTGGCGGCGAGGAGTGTGTGGTCCCTGGCAGACACTCGCCGGCCAGCCAGGGTTCAGGGCCCTCCTGAGCCCACGGTCTCAGGGGCGCAGGGGCTTGCCTTCCCATTGGGGAGGAGGGGAAACCGAGGCTCAGAGCTGTGAGCTGAGCCGCCCGACCACACAGCTCTCAGGATGGAGCTGGGGTCTCGAGCCCACGACCCTCCACATCGGAGAGGCTGTTTCCCCTTCTCAAAGGTGCCCCTGTGACAGTGGCAAGGAGAAGGCTGCAGGGACCTTGGGATGGGCGAAGAGTGGTGGGACCTTGAGGAAGATGCTGCTTTAGCTCCCAGCTTACTCCTGGTCCTCCCTGATAATGGAGCAGATCTGGGATTTTCTCCTCAGGGAAGTCGCCAGAATCCTTCCACAGATCTGTCAGTGGCCAGGCAAAGGTAAGGGTGGATCAGCTCCGCCCAGTGGAAGCTCTGGTGACAGGAGACCCTGAGGGACAGACTAACCTGGGGCTGGAGGGGCAGCTGCAGCGGCTGGAGGGGACACCTGAAGCCCGGAGGCTGAGAACAACCACAGGGGCACTTGCTTTCTGACTCCGGTCAAGGCGCCCCATGTCTCTGGGCCTGAGGTGGTCAGTACCTGGTTGTCAGTTTCTGTGACCAGTGCCAATCTCTCCTGGCTGCTGGGCTCCTCCCTACCCACCTCCTCCAGGAAGCTCCCCCCTCTCACCCATTCCCCCACCCATGCCCAGGGCTTCAGGGCCTGCTGGTTTTTTTTTCTTTTTCTTTTTTTCTTTTTGCCACCAGGGTGAATTGTCAATTGATTTGTTATTTATCCCACTGACAACAAAGAGAGTGAAAAGGTAATAATTCTGGGCCCTGGGGTAATTCAATTCCTGTAGCACCGTCAGCTACATTAACTTACTTCCTGGATCTCAATTCAATTAGAGCAACATTCCCCAGCATTAATAAATCAATACTCATGCCATTTGGATATATTTTGAATGTCTTTCATTATCCATTGCAGGTCGGGGATGGCTGTTGAATTGAAAGTTAATGGGACAGGACAGGGCAGGTGGGGCTGCCTGGGGAGCAGCTTCTAGCCGTTAGCTCTAATTGCCTGTGCTGCAAAAGAGAGCGTAGTAAAACAGAGACCTGGTTAACTGAGCCAAGTCCAGAGGGAGTTATAGCAAGCTGCATCTCTGGTCAGGGCAAACGGAGCCACGGCAGTCCGAGGGGCTTGTTCACCCACTCATTCATGCACTCATCCATCCATCCATCATCCATCCAACCATCCACACACCCACTCAACCAACCATCCCTTCATCCATCCATCCCTCTCTCCCTCCTTCCATCCATCCACCTACCCACTTAACCAACCAACCAACCACCCATCCATCCACCCAACTGATTCATCCATCCATTCACCCACACAACCTCTGTCCATCTACTTACCCATCCATCCACCCAGACATACATACATACATACATCCTCCCATCCAATCTCCATCTATTCACCTAACCATCCACTCTCCTCCCAATCCTTGTCACCCCTTCTCTCATTCTCCTTCCCATTCCCTGTATCCCACATCCCACCCCTCCTCCTAGTCTTCCTCTCATCCTGCCTCTACTCCTTTTTCCTGACTTGCAACTTTCTTTCCATCTTTTCATCTCCCTATTCATCCCGAACACTTACTGAGGGCCTAGTATGCACTCCATCGCCCATCTGTTTGTTCACCCTACTGTGGTGGCTTGCATGGTGCTCAGATGCTGGGAGCAACGCCACCCACTGGAATTTCAAATGCCAGCAGGGTCACCCAGGGTTGACAGGTGTCAGTGAAGCTTCCAGACTAAGACTAGAAAGAAAGGCCCAGTGAGCTAGTGCAGAAAAGTCGTCCGTGCAAACCTTGTGAATTGCAACAGAACTTTGGATGTGCCACCCATCGCAGGGCATCCATCACTAGAGGGAGGAGGACGTCGTGTTTGTGAAGTAGACAGCAGCCTGGGGTGAGCACAACCCTCCGAAGAGACAAATGAGCACATTGGCCGCCACAACGAGCTCAAACATGCCGATGAGTGTGAGGGTGCTGCAGGGCTGGGTGGCGTCCATTGTGCTGTTCATAAGATGGACATGCATGAGTCAGGCTGAGCTCGCTGGTAGCAAAAATG